TTTTCTACTTTTGAGCGTAAGTGTATGTGTGTGCGTGTGTGAGCGTGTGTGTGAGCGTGTGTGTTTGTTTGTGTGTATGGGGGTGTGTTTGTGTGTGCGCGTGTGTGTGTATGTGTGTGTGTGCGCGCGTGTGTGTGTGTGTGTGTGTGTGTGTGTGTGTGTGTGTAGGCTCTGTACAACGTGTGAACAGGTATGTGTGTGCGCACGAGCGTGTGTTTATGATGTACCGTGCGTGTTTCTCTTCGTGTATGTGTGTATATTCACACAACTAACAGAACATAATAATGCCGTATTTGGATGTTGACATCCTGAATAGAACCAAGTTCCACCACGCCCCTTTTTCTCCTACCCCTCTCTGTTGACATTTTGTTTTTCTTAAAGACCATGTTCCGTGCAGATCCAGCCGGATGAGATTACCCCTCAGACAGTATTTAGTGGGTGGTTGGCGGGTGCTCTGGTTTGCTCCTTCTTTCCTATCAAACATCTATCGTCCTTATTCTCCACTTCTTCTTTTTTATGTTTGTTACTCTCTTGTAACACCTCTAATCTTCTGGCGCTCATATGACCTTATGCAGTTACAAGTGCCGTAAAACCTCTACTAAAACTAAAACTAGACAGTATTCAAAGCTAAGAACTTACCGAAAAGGTCACCTATCTTAATTGTTGTCTTTTTAACCCTACGGATTGGGTTAATGTTTCAAAATTTATAAAAGCTGCGTATTTTTCGCGTGATCTATCTTCTTTTTACCTGTAGTCCTAAGTTTACTTTCTTGAATAAACATATTTAGGGAAAAGATTATAGGCCTACACGTACTGACTAGTAGCGCTCTGGCTAGATGGTGATGAGTAAAATTATGATTTATAATTTATTCAAAGGTAACAATTCAAACAGACATGTATGACGAGTAGCATTAAGTTTTGCATTTTACATAAAATATAATAAAATGTGGCTTTGGAATTTTCGTCTTTTTCTGTTACCGCCTCGCGGACATAGATGTAACCTACACACTTACACACGCACACATACGTACACACACATGCACACACACATACACACACTTACACTTACACACACACACACACACACACACACACACACACACACGCGCGCGCGCGCGCGCGCCCATGCGCGCTTACACACTTACAAACACATTTTCAAACTTTTTACACTTACACACTCACGCGCACACACACACAAACACACACAAACACGCACAAACATGCTCAAACACACGTAAGCGAACAAATTCACACATACACACAGTGAGAGAGA